TGTGTGTGTGTGTGTGTGTGTGTGTGTGTGTGTGTGTGTGTGTGTGTAGGGTGGAGGGTGGGGTTAGGAATCAAGGACATTCACATAATTATACAATACAGAAGAGGGTGGTGAAACAGGAGTTTTGACTGAATCCTCTAGACACTAGGACCTAGAGCATGAAAACCTGTGGGGGTGGGGGGAGGATAGAGATAAGGTTTGTCTCCAACTTCCACCGTTCTTTTAATTGGAATGCTCTGTGATTTGCCAGTTACATTTGGGTCTTCCAAGAAGCATAACTCTGGGTGACACCTAAGGAAGTGCAGGGCTTCTCTGGGTAGGCTCCCTAGTAAGAGAGGGAGTGAGGAGGAGAGAGACACAGAGAGACACAGAGAGAGTGAGAGAAACAGAAGAAAAAAGAGACAGGCAGACAGAGACAGAGAGACTACTTCCTTACCCATCCAAAGACAGCATACTCTTCCTGACTATCATTTACTAGTGTTTCCTTATAACTGTCAATTGGCAGAGGTCTGTTGAACAAGCCCTTCCCCCATTCCCCGGGAAGGAACAGGGAATTACGTAAGTCATTTAGATAAGCTAGCAGTAACTTCGGCTGTATATGACAAAGTTGATCTTTTTTTTCCTTCTCCTAAACAAGTGAGAGAATTAAAAAATATATATATATTTGGCAGGTTATGCCCTGAACACTGTATTTTATGGTAGAAACAGCACTGTAAACAGCATGCAGGGAAGGGCCAGAATTCCCACAAGGAAGAAGGAAAGGAAACTGTCCTGGAAAGGTGGGAGAGAGAATTAATTTGCCAACTGTTAGTGTATGTGATGTGTTTGAATGTGAAGGAGAGCTGTGCTGAGATTCAGTCTTTAATTCTTGCAATGCTTACTGTTGTAGGACATACCATGGAAGAGCTAATGTCAGCATGTTTCCTTTCACAGTGAGATGCAAACTCTCAGTAATGTTACTTTCCTGACCATTATTCTTTCCCCAACTTATACAAAGATAAACAAAACATACCTTGTATCTAACACAAAACTGATTCCCACAGCTGCAATGACTACTGCTCCCATCCTTAACAAAAGAAGGAAAGTTCCCATTGTCTGTATAAACCCATTTGTGAGAGATCCATCTTCAAAGCCCAGGAATTCAAACAACTTTTTGTTTTTGTGAATTCCTGTAGTTGTCAAAATAGGCTGTACATAAAATTTATCTTTTCTTCCTCTCCACATACTCCTATGCCCCATGCCCACTCCCTGAATCATTGCAAAAGCCTCCTAATTAGTCTACTGACTTCCCATTCCCTTCTTAAATGTGGTGCCAGCACCAGGTACACTAGTGTCTTCATTTGCTTTTGCATTAATTTATTTCGTGGTGGTGGATGGAGTTGCTGACATGCATGTCAGAGGACTGCAGGAAGCAGTTCTCTCCCTCTACCTTGTGAGTAATGGGGAGCAAACTCCATCATCTGGCTTTACTTGTCAGACCATCTTACTTGCCTCTAAATATCTAAGAGTAAAAGGCAAAGGCTATCCCGTTAAAACCGCATTGCACTGTCAGCTTCTCAGTTAGCCTTCCCAGGCAGCTCCTTCTAGCCCACCCTCATTCGGCCTTCTTCTTCTCAGCACCACAGTCGTGCTTCAGCCCTAGAAATGTTCTATTTGTTTTTTTCCACCAGGGAGGCCAGGCTTGAGATGCCTACCATGGCTTCCTAACTCAGCACTCCTGGATGTTTGCTGTCATCTAAGATGCTCAGCTGTCCAAATCTCAACAATCTCAATTCCCTTTCTTGGTTATCACACTGGGCTTTTTTACTAATTTATTTCTTCTTGTCCTTCTTTGCCCATAAGACTAGAAGCTCGGTGAAAAGGTCACTGCTCTTTCCACTGCAACCATGCCTGACAAGTTCAAGTAAATAGTTGTTCCATGATTTAATGTTGCTTCAGAAAACAGTTCTCTCCAAAACTGGAAAGTCATCACCCACTCCTTCAAGCCCTGCTTTTTCACCCTACGCTCTTCCTGGTTTTGGGATTCCTGAGGGGAAAATAGTGTGTGATTATCCTAAAAGTCATTTCAGGTGACATGATAGAAGGGAGAGTTGGATTCTAAAAGCATCCACACTTGAAGTCTGTCCTTGTTTAGGGTTTCTATTGCTGTGATGAAACACCATGACCAAAGCAAGTTGGGAAGGAAAGGATTTATTTGGCTTATATACTTCCATATCACTGTAATTTCAGGGCAGGAACTTAAACAGGCAGGAGCTGATGCAGAGGCCATGGAGGGTTCCTACTTACTGGCTTGCTTACATGGCTTCCTCAGACTACTTTCTTATAGAACCAAGGATCACCAGCCCAGGCATGGCACCACCCATAATAATCTGGGCCCTCCTCCATTAATCATTATTTATGGAAATGATCTACAGGCTTGCCCACAGCCCAGTTTTATGGAGACATTTTTCTCAATCAAAGTTCTCTCCATTCACATGTCTCTAGCCTGTGTCAAGTTAACATAAAACTAGCCAGAACAAAATCATTCCATCACCATGCTTTACTGCTATATAGTCAGATTGTATGACAGCAATGCTTACTTTTATCCTTCATCTTATCAGGCCAAATTGTGATTCACAATAGAAAAGACCTCATATTCTAGAAAGCAAAATTGTCAAAAGAGAAGTTTGTTAGAGGCGTCATTTAAAGAGCAAGTGCATTTCTGCACATTAAGTTTCTCCTTTTCCTTTCAATAGAAGTAAATCCACACAATTTTCTTCATTGTTCTAACACAGACAGAGAATATTGCCTATTAACACATACAAAATAGCCAGTTAATTAGCAAGAGAAATCCTGTCCCATGTATTTCCTTAGCAAAGCTGGGGTAGGGGGATCAGAGGTTTCTCTCTCTTTTCTTTCTCTAAAGGAGCTTCTGACCTTGGTGAAATCACTATCTGTTATTTATCTTGTCAGTAAGAGAAGTATGTTTATACCACACGATGGGGTGAAAATTTAAGATTACAACCAAAATCATTCTCTTGCATTGGACACTTACATAGCTGGATGAATAGAGGCAATAGGACATTTCCTTGGATAAAATGTTAGAAATTCTTTGAAATCTTCTGGTGTGATCATCAAAATTAGAAGGTCTTAAAGTTAGCATTGCCATACAATGCAGAAGCCTCCATGCATGGTCAGCACTTCTTTGACAAGCACTTTCGTCCGTTTGATTCAGGTTCTGTGCCTCATGGTGACATCATTTTTTCTTACATAATGTACATCCTTTAGTCACATTTCTTTTTTTTTTCATCTCTAATTTCATTAGACAAACCTCTAAACACGGTTCCATGTATGCCACAACCACTCGTTAAAACATGAGAAGTCAGATGTATAGTCTGAACCATTTTTTTTTAATTAAACACATCATATGGTTTATCAAAAGCTGTTCCTTACATGACCAATTTTCTTGACTGTATAGGTCACCTCCTTGTGAAGATTTTTGTTAAAGGGCATCTGTCCTTTGGAGCAGCCCAGTGTGTGGTGAGCGGTTACCACAGCGCGATGTCTGCACTCACACTTCCACCACACATTTTTCGATGCTCTTTTGCTTTGTTACATATTTCCGTCTGTGCATTATGTTGTTTCCTGTACATTCATATTCTTGCTATGTCTGAGAATCTGCTGCTGGCACCATTTTTCTAACACTTGGGAGGCTCAAGATTTACAAACACTCTACTGATGTGTAGACCACTGAGAGTTGGTGGCGTGTGAACAAGTCCAGTTAAAAATATTTTGGGGAGCTGGGTTTGTAGCTAAGCTGGTAGAGTGCTTGCCTAGCATGTTGGGATTCCTGGGTTCAGTCCTCAGCACTGCCATGAAGTCAGATGTGCCTGTAACCCCATCACTCATGAGGTGGAGACAAATATCAGAAGCCCAAGGTCATCCTTGGCTGAAAAGTGAGTGCAAGGTCAGCTACCTGAGAGAGACTGTGTCTCAAAAACATTATAGCTGGACTTTAAAAATGCTTTTAAATGTTTGCACTGTTTGTGGGATTTTAAAAAAAATATTATAATTTTATAAAATATTTAAATTTATTTCTTTTCTTTAGAATTCTGTGAGACAGAATTCATTTTGACTGCCCCCAATAAATTTAATAATGCAACTGGCCTTTTTTGTTGACAGAGTAATAATTTCAAGGAAACGAAGAATTGAGAATCATTTTGGTGAATGGATTCCAATGTATGGCATAAGAATAAAGTGAAGATTTGACCCATTTTGAAGAAACATACCATCCACTTGTGTAATAGAATACAACAAAAGCTAAAGAAATGAATTCAACACTGTTTTCCCAATTTGAAAATCAGTCCGTTCACTATAACATCTCAGAGAACTCTCCACTTTTGGCCTTTGAAAAAGACGATTGTCACCTGCCCTTGGCTGTGATATTCACTTTGGCTCTTGCTTATGGGGTTGTGATTATTCTTGGGATCTCTGGGAACCTGGCATTGATCATAATCATCCTGAAACAGAAAGAGATGAGAAATGTCACCAACATCCTGATCGTGAACCTTTCCTTTTCAGACTTGCTAGTTGCCATCATGTGTCTCCCCTTCACTTTTGTGTATACACTGATGGACCACTGGGTCTTCGGTGAGACCATGTGCAAACTGAATCCGTTTGTGCAATGCGTCTCGATTACAGTATCCATTTTCTCTCTGGTTCTCATTGCTGTGGAACGGCATCAGCTAATCATCAACCCAAGAGGGTGGAGACCAAATAACAGACACGCTTACATAGGCATTGCTGTCATTTGGGTCCTTGCAGTGGCTACCTCTCTGCCTTTCCTGATCTATCAAATTCTGACTGATGAGCCCTTCCAGAATGTCACACTTGCTGCATTCAAGGACAAGTTTGTGTGCTTTGACAAATTTCCATCGGACTCTCACAGGCTGTCCTACACGACCCTCCTTCTGGTGCTGCAGTATTTTGGCCCACTCTTCTTCATATTCATATGCTACTTCAAGGTAAGGAAACCATTCACACTGCCCTAATTTTTTCCCTTCTTACTTTCTTTGTACAAACTTCTCCATGAGGTGAATGTCCTACTTGAACTCACCCTTTCCTTTCTTCATAGATATACATTCGCTTGAAGAGGAGAAACAACATGATGGACAAGATGAGGGACAGCAAATACAGGTCCAGTGAGACCAAGCGAATCAACGTCATGCTGCTGTCCATCGTAGTCGCGTTTGCGGTCTGCTGGCTGCCTCTTACCATCTTCAACACTGTGTTCGACTGGAACCACCAGATCATTGCTACCTGCAACCACAATCTACTGTTCCTGCTCTGCCACCTCACGGCCATGATCTCCACCTGCGTTAACCCCATCTTCTATGGGTTCCTGAACAAAAACTTCCAGAGAGACTTGCAGTTCTTCTTCAACTTTTGCGATTTCCGGTCTCGAGATGACGACTACGAGACCATAGCCATGTCCACCATGCATACGGATGTATCCAAGACTTCTTTGAAGCAAGCCAGCCCAGTCGCATTTAAAAAAATCAATATGGATGACAGTGAAAAAATCTGAAGCTGCTTAGAACATTCAGCCCCAGACAACATCCGTGAACAGCAAGCACAGCCAGCCACATGCTTTCACCACCCGTGCTCCCATGGATCAGAACAGAATAAGTCTGGAAACTCCGGGACTGTCTGTGCATTTTACTGCTTTTGTTATGCCATGATTACTTGGGATCAACATAGGTGGACTTTGTAATCTTCTAGCAACAATTTTAACTAGACTTGTATGTGTGTGTGTGTGTGTGTGTGTGTGTGTGTGTGTGTGTGTGTCTGTGTGTCTTTTTGTCTGTCAGTATACACATGTAAAGTTATGCATATGACAAAGATATTTTTACTGTATTTATTGCGGTGAATTTCTCTGAAGTACTGCCCTGAGCTCACTTTAAAAGCAGTACCCACCTGATATTCTCAAGATATTGGGCTTTTATGATTAGATGAGATTTCCAACACCCTGGACTGCCTTTGTACCATCCCAGGAAGTTACAAGGGTGTTACAAGGGTGACAGTATACAAAAGTCACCTTGTAGAATATGTCTGAGCCAAAAGAAAGTCTGAAGTCATTCAGCAACATTTTTTGGAGGAGGGGCTCTTTTTATTGAGAGGACTGGGTTTGTCACTCCTAATTGAGTATCACTTAAGACAAAGATACGTAAAGCACACATTTTCAGCTGTGAATATCACCGGGAATTAGCCACCCACCAGAATGAAGTGGCAAAGAAGTTCCCTAATTTCAATTTTTTTCTGACAACCAAAGCATTTCATGGTAATTAAGTTTAATAAGTAAATTAGTATTGCTGCAGATAAATTGCATCCACAAGAATTGATCATCGAGAGGTTTTGCGTCATTCACAAGTGTGTTCAGCACTGTCAAGCTTTCTAGCACAACCAAGTGACTCTGAGAACATTTGCAACTCACACTGCATAGAAATGTAACATGCATTTTCGCAACAACAGTGCCTGCACAGTAACTAGTATTTAACTCTCACTGTTTATCGCTCATGGCAGAGGACACACAGGCAGTGTTAAAGAATGTTTACCTCAGCTAGCAGGTATCTATCTGTACCTAGAAATTTCGTACAGCCAGCCCATCCTAACTTGTATAAACTGTGTGATGTATGGAGTTTTATTATTGTATACTATTATATTATATAGTACTGACTAGCCATGCCATATTAATATATTTACTTTCACATATCTTGTAATCATTATTTAGACTCGGAAAAGATACCTTCAAGAAGACAGTTTCATGTATTATATAAAGTGTTGGATATGTGTGATTTTAGAAGGGCAAACACTTTCTGTATTAAAATTGTTTTGGCTTTTTCAGAGGAGTGTGTATTGTATTTCTCTTGAGCTTCATTTCCTCCTGTCCCATGACTTCCCTTCCATGATCTGGCATCTCCACCTCACCCAGTGTCAATTTGCTGGTGAAATACTATCTATTCTTTAACTACTAGTGACGGATTCACTTCCTTTCTAGATTTGAAAGCTTCTTAAAGGCAGAGGCTATGTAATAATGATGGGCCCACAGTGTATTTAGCAGAGTGACAAGTGATTAGAAAGTCATTTTAAGTGCAGTTCAGGGGTCTGAGGAGCCGGCTCGATAGGTAAAGAGGTTGCAGCACAACTGTGTCTATAAATGGTGTAGTCCCACACAGCTGCTTAGCTGAATTAACTCACCCAGCCAGTTCTGGGGTCAGCGAAGTGAAGGCACCCGAGACACTCAGCATAAGCCTATGGTCTATATATATGCAAACACATGCATACACCTTCACCGAGCACAAAACCGCATCTACACACTCATGAACATACAGATGCACACTGCACAAACACCTACATACATAAGCATGTGGACATAGACTTTCTAAAACAAGTGAATGAAAGAAAGCAAAATTTCTTCCTTCCCACTGTGTCACATGAAATTCACATCTCGGTGTTTTCTTGGATTCTCCTTCCTGTTCCTCTTTACCTGTTCCTCTTTACCAAAGAGCATTTTCTTTTCTACTGTGTTATTTTACCTCTAAATGAAATAGTAATGACATTTACATTTTAGGATCTCAGCCGTGTAAGAAATACGAACCATCTAATGGTAGAAGTTAGTACAAAATCACATGATGGCCTAAGATTGTCCTTTAGTTGCCCAGATGATGACAGAGAGACAATTCCAGATCCAGTTTTTAAGGTTCATTGAAAAAATAGTACCTTTTAAAGCTCTCAAACCTGATATCCTTAGTACTGGAACCAGGACCTAATGCAATGGGAAGCTCTCTCTGATTTCAGTGCTGTGGATATGAAGGACTACTGGAGATCACTCACTGTTAACAGTCACCAGTTTCTCTGCCAGTGCATTTGCTGATGCAGCCATTTCTAGTAACCAACCTTACAAGACTTTAACCGCATGTACAGAAGCAACTGAATATCAAATTCTTCTATTTCACCCAAAGATGTAGACCAGCTAACAGTTCAATCCAAGGCCAGCACCAATGTGCTAGAGTTGAAGTAGGCACAAATTAAAGATAATGGAAACAGTAGATTCTTAAATTTATGAGGTACAATTATTAGAATCACAGCACAATTAATAGAGCTTGTATGAAATTGGATGAATTGATAAGCACTAGAATTTTTTAGACTCTTAATATGGCAAGCACTGTATCAAATGTGGAAGTCTTGATTAACATTGCTGCCACTCGACGCAGGAGGAATCCAAAGCTCAACGGGAAGTACAAGTGACACAGAAATCCAATCCAAGTATGACTCATGCTACTAAACTAATTACAGAGCTGTAATTGTAGCTCTATAAAATAGTTTTGAAGAATCATAGTATAGCTCTCTTGGTATAGCTTTCCTGGCATGCATGAAGCCCCAGACTCAATCTCCAGCACCACATAAACTGGCTATGGTGGCACAGGTCTATGATCACAATGCTCAAAGGTGGGGGTAGGAGCTAGGGAAGAGTCAGAGGTTCAAGGTCATCTTCAGCTTCATAATGACTTTCAGAGAAGTGTTGTCTTTGTGAAACTCTTTCTTGGAAAACAATTTTGTTCTCATCTTCTTAAAGTTCATATTACCTGGTAATGACACTGATGATGCCAAATTTTTCAGAAAAGAATGGAATAAAATGGAAGAGTGGAGAGGTGGGCATGGCAGCTCGATGTGTCTATTTTCCTCTTTGGAGTTACAAAAGTCTACTTTAGAGTATCATTAGACTATATGCCTTTATTTCAATTCTTTCCTATTGATTGGATAGCCTCAGCCCCTACTTGACCTCACATATACCCAGTGAAATACACCTACATATTGTTCTCTAATTCCAACTAGACACATTGACAATGAAAATACATGTCTTCTGTGGAAAAAGGAAAAAAAAACCCTGCTAATTCATTGCTGGTGGGAGTACAGAGTCATACTGACAATGTGGAAATCAGTGTGGCAGTTCCTTAAGAAGATAGAAATTGATCTACTCCTAGACCAGCTGTACTACTCTTGGGTACTTTATCCTACCACAGAGACACTTGTTCCATGATGTTCAATGCTGCTCTATTCATAAAAACCAGAAATGGAAACAACATAGTTGTTCCTCAACAAATAAATGCTCAAAGGCCATTTTTAAAAGTGACCATATTTGTAGGTAAATAGATGAAAATAGAAAAATCATCCTGAATGAGGTAGCCCAGATGGAAGAAAGATAAATATACTATGTATTTGAGTATATGGAAATATTAGCTGTGAAGCCAATGATAACCAACATACAATCCATAGAACCACAGGGGGTAGGTATAGAGTAAGGGGCTAGCTTTCATTAGGAAAGGAAAATCGGCTCCCATCCTGTTTTTTCCCTTCCACCGTTCCTGGTGTCTATCCTGTTTACCATTCTGGATGAAATTTAAGCATCCTCCCTGGGGTCCTCTTTGTTGTTTAGCTTCTTCAGGTCTGTAGATGTTAGTATGGTTACCCTTTATTATACATCTGCTAATAAGTCAGCTAACATCTGCTTATAAGTGAGTATACACCATGTGTGTCTTTCTGCTTCTGGGATACCTCACTCAGGATGATCTCTTCTAGTTCTATCCATTTGCCTGCAAACTTCATGATTTCCTTGTTCTTAATAAGCTTGGTACTATTCCATTGTGTAAATGTGCCACTACTATAGAGGGTTGTCTGAAAGGCTCCACCTAACAGGGGATTGAAGCAGATACTGGGACTCACAGCCAAACTTTGGGCAGAGCCCAGGGAGTCTTGTGGAAGAAGTGGGAGATAAAAGGACCCAGAGGAAACAGGAGTCTCATAAGGAGACCAACAAAGCTAAAAAATCTGGGCCCAGGGGGTCCTGCAGAGACTGATGCACCAATGGAGGACCGTGCATGGAGAGGACTTAGTCTCCCTGCTGAGATGTAGTTGATAGGCAGCTCAGTCTCCATGTGGGTTCCGAAGGAAGGGAGCAGGGGCTGCCTCTGTCATGAACTCAGTTGCCTGCTTTTTGATCACTTGCCCCTGGCAATGTGGCCTTGCTAGGCCACAGAGGAAGAGGATCTAGGCAGTCCTGATGAGACTTTATAAGTTAAGGGTAGATAGCAGGGGAGGAGGACTCTCCCATTCAATGGACTAGGAGAAAGGGATGGAGGAAGAGGGAAGGTAGGACTGGGAGGAGTTGAGAGAGGGGGCTTCAATTGGGATATACAATGAATAAGTTTTAAAAATTTTAAAAAGGAAAGGGAAATAGAATAGTGAGGATGGATGGATGGATGGATGAACGGACAGGGAGGGGCGTTGTAGCAGAACAGGAGCATCATGAGGTAGAGGGGAGGGTTGGTTGAGGTAGGGAACACAGGGAGAGATAGCTAGGGCATTTGAGGGGTGGTATGGAAACCTAACACAGTAGAAGTTTCCTAAAATATGCACATATATGAAGAGGATATAAAAGAAATTACCAAATAATGGGGGAGATAATAGATAATAATGGAGTCCCAACTGGCCATAGCGTGTCAACAAAAGAAGATTCCAGTACTGAAATAGGGTTATATCTAATTGAGTTGTTGGCTGATGGGGTATCATGGGAATCCCCAACAACCCAGGCTGTTGCCAAGACAAATAGGCTGCTCTCCACAAACTGACATCAGAGCCTTTTTGCTGAAGACAAAACCCGCACAGCTTATTAAACATGGAGAGGTTGAGCTGGTGCGTACAAAAAGCCTTCATCTTATGTTCTATCATCTTTGGTACAAAAAGTTATTCTGCACAACACCAAAAGGGAAACATAAATACCAGTCAAAGCCTTTTGTCTACAGTGATGTCCTGCCTGTAACATATACTAGGACAATGGTGGCACAAAGCTTGTGCTGATTGGACTTAAGGCCCACTCCATGTGCTACAACCCTGAAGCTATGTATCTGATAAAATCATATACCTGGCTTTTCACCCAGCAGCCTTATATCATTGTCCATATTTCCTTTTTTAAAATTAAAAAAAAAAAGATTTTATGTGTCTATGAGTATTTTGTCTACATGTATGACTAAGGATCAAATTGTGCAGTATCAAAGGAGGCCAGAAGAGGGGGACAGATTCCCTTGAAACTAGTGCAGAAGAGGGTTGCGGACCTTCATGTGGGTGCTAAGAATCAAACTCAAGTACTCTGGGAAAGTGGCCAGTAAGTCATGATTCTAGCTCTATTTTCTATGTTTTTAAACATAAAAAATAACAAGTATGTATTATTATAGGTCTGTGTTGTCAATAGAATTGCCTCAACTCCCATTTGAAAACTGTAAAGAATTTAGACTACTCCATGTTTTCATTATTTTATTGTTTGGAATAATTAATGTACTACAAGATTTCCTTTTCTTGGAATGGTGTAATTCAGAGAAATTTAGTTTGTTCAGACGGCCCTACAGTCACCTTTATCTAATTCCAGCACATTTTCACCATTCTAAAAGAAACCCGGAACTTCCCAGCATGATTGGGAAGTTGTCTCAACGAGTAAAAAACAAAACAAAACAAAAAACTGGTCAAACTGAGAAATCAACAACTGCTCTTCATTTCAGAGAACTGTCTACATGCTTCCTGTTGGAGAGATAAGCAACACAGAAACTCGCAGGGCAAGGGAAGCTATGCGGAATCGATGAGAGGACCCACGCTGCAGAAAAGCTAGTGCTACGCTCTGAAATCGGCCCTGCCAGGCACAGTGTGGAAACAACCCTACTGCACTGTTGTGACTTTTACTCACAGAAACTGGACCACATTGTCACAGTGACTGACAGAAAAAAATAAATAAATAAACAAAAGACCCCCCCCCCTCAAAATCCTTGTCGCAGGGGCCAGG